TAGGAGGATTTCGAGGGCTTTGCTGAATGAGGCCGTGCCGGTTCGGGGGAGGCCGGCTCCGATGACCTGGAGCTTGGTTCCGGGCTTCGGCTTGGAGGCTTCTTGGCCCATTGTGAGACTTGAGATGCTTCTTTGAAGATTTTGCACTCGAGACAGAATGCGAAAGATGGGGCCACTGTAATCAGATTAGATGAATGATTGATACTTACGAGTTTCCCTTTTTAATGCCAATGCTGACACCGTCCACTAAGGAGGCCGAGGATGCACCTAATGACCCCTTCCGTTTTGGGGAATTAAAAGTCACTTGTCACCCCTCTCACTCAACGTGGTAAGGATATCGGTCACACATGCACAAGGCAAAGTGTTTGGCATAGTGAAGCAGTTGACAATCTGAAATGGACGAAGCCGTTGCCAGATACGGGCGTGAGAGGTGAGTCCCAGGTGAGAGCGCACACCTTCGTTCACCGACCCGACTCACCGAGGAATCCAGCGTTTCGTAAGGTACCCACCCCATCAAGGTCGGCGGGCGCTTGCCAATTTTGGCAAATGGGAGTGGAACTGGTTTTCGCACCATACCGAGCATCTGTGTCACTGAGCCGGAGAGCTGCACAATAATAGTGCGGCGAGGTTGGCGGTGAGGGTCGGTCGATGCATCGGACGTTGGATGCGTTTCGTTTTCGTGGTGCGGATAAGGCTCGATATGGGCATTGGCTGCTCCGTGAATCCCGTCAGCGAAGCCAAGTCTTTCTATCGGGACCTCCTCGAGAGATACGTCGAGAGAGATCTCGATAGCGGACAGGGCTTGGGTGTTGTAAGCCAGATGTTGAAAATGAAGACCAAGGTATTACCATTACCCAGCGATTCATGACCGCGTAGGTACGGAGGTACCTAACTGAGGGTTACGGTGCGCGGATCCGTACCAGCGGCGGCGAGGGCGTCCTATCACGGCGGCAGGTGAGGGTCCAGCGCTGTGTGTTGCTGATTCATCCTTGGATCATGGCGCTGGTGCAGCTTAGCAACCGCTTAACTCAGACCCGCGCGCGAGGGATGACAGCGACAGCGACAATGTATGGGGTGCCGCAGCGTCACAGTGCTCCGTCGTCGGGTCTAGGCGGTGTCTCCACTGAATGCTGACGGCGGTTGACGAAATCTGCGACCATCTGCTTTGTGATCTGATGGACCTGTCCAATCCATGGATATCAGACGACAATTTCGATGGGCGCAACCGTCCAGGATCGGCCAGAGGGAACAGGAGTCCCACGTGTAAGTCATGAAGAAAAGGTGCTCCGTGCAGTCCACGTCCTACCTTAGACACTAGAATCCGCGGCGTTCTTTCATTGGCTCACCATGTTCTGAGCTCCGTAGAAGGAGATGGGCTGCCATTTGTCAGTCAAGACTAATCTCTTCGTCCTACCATCGATCGTCACCGCCAACTCCGGACCTCGCTCGCAAAAGATGCCTTCGGCTCCGGCACTTGGCAACAATGGGAGGGAAAACAGGCTTTGGTACCTGATCCCATCCCGCCGTCTGGCTGAGCTTTGACCTTCGAGGGCCTCAACTCTAAGTGAGGAACGCTCCTGATGTTAGGTTCGTCTCGCGGTTCGTCATGCCAACTTGAGGGAACGGCAAGAGGGCAATCCGTGATACACCCGCGATCCGAAAGTATTTGCGCTCCTCCAGACACAGTCGTGCACAAAAGAAGAGCCTCCTCCCCCCACCGTTGGCTGCCAGGTTGGTGAGACTAAAGTGACAATGGAAGTGCCGCCCTTACCCCACGGCCGACAGGGTAGTCGAGGAAAGGGATTGCCTGTGTATTCGTAAGGCTTATGATAGCTGATGGCGTTGTTAAGCACTTATTCAGCACCCTCGTCTCTTTCAGAAATCCAGCCCCCCCCGCTGCTGGACCACGGATCACTGCGATCTGTTGCAGGGCAGCTACTGGAACAAGGTCGGCACGGGTGGTTTCTGACATGGGTTCGATGGGCAAGATGGTGGTGTTCTCCGGGTAGCTTGCATCATGGCTGAATTGGATGTTGCATCGCGACCTGACGTGCCTATCGCAACCCATCCTCGCCCGCGGCTCCGATTCGCATCGTGTCTGTTTCCTGTGATGAGTATTGAGTGAGACTTTGATTGCACAGAAACAGTATCGCGGGTAAGTACTTACCTACCTAGGTACAGAGTAGAATCGGTACATTGAGATCACGAACCCAAGAGTGTACTTACCTGCCTACCTACTTAGCTACCTCAGGTGCTCATGTCACAATAACAAGCCAGCCCCGCAGCGGAGCATGGACCAGCTTGGAGGGGTGTAGCTCCCCATGCCATGATGCCAGGCAGGGCAGGGGCAGGGCAGCTGCTTTCCTTCCCTCCCCTCCACCCGCCCGGACACCTTACGGTTTGTCAATTGTCGCGCGCCTGCTTACAGCACCTTAGCTGAGCAGCATGGAGCTCTTGGCCGTTGAAGCTGGATGAAACCGCACCTCATCGTCCACCTCAGATCCCAACCTACCTATGGAAAGTACCTACCTTGACGACCGTCTGGTTGGCCTGCCCGAGTCTAGCGTGCCTTTGATGATGCAACACCGCCGTAAGGTACCTTATCCAAACCCCTCCAGCCCCTCTCTGGCCGTTTCCGCGCCTGGCCAAGCTGCCGGCCTTACGTGGTAACGTATCCGTACCTTGTCTTGCCCGGGTACACTGGGTAAGGTAGATTGATATAAGAAGATGTGCTCCTTCCCAACAGACCACATTTCTCACTCCATTCCCTCTCCAGTTCCCCTGTGTTGAGCACTGATTTCCTCTCTTCACTGCCATCGATACCCTTCCTTTTCTATCCATCCGTCCTACAGAGACAAACATCTGCCACAATGGCTCCCAAGATCGCTATCGTTTACGTGAGTACCCGCCCCCCAGTAGCTCTTCTTTCCTAATCGGGCAATTTCTTCTGTCCTGTTCTCTGCCCCTCCCCCCACCCGCTACCTCACTCACCACCTTACCACCTCACTCAATCTCAACGGTGGCTTGGCAACCTCTGTCTCCCTTCCCAAGTCTACCGCATGCCTTGTGCGCAGTAGATGCCCATCGTTGCCTCTGGCTGCAACCGAAGGCCTCGTTCTGCAGACAACATGACGACTCCCGCGCACAATCATGACGCCTCGATACGCGTTGCCCGCACCTCGGCGCCCTGAACCCCGCCGCGATCGCCAATTCAACTCCAACCCTGCCCTTAAGACCTCTATGCTAATCCCGTGCGCCCTCACAACAGTACTCCATGTACGGCCACATCCGTACCCTGGCCGAGGCCGAGAAGGCCGGTATTGAGAAGGCCGGCGGCACCGCCGACCTCTTCCAGTACGTCCTGCCTTACTACAAACCCCTCCCCCGCCGCGAGTCGCTTGCAATCCGGCTAACCACTGTGCAATCAACAGGATCGCTGAGACCCTCCCCGAGGAGGTCCTCACCAAGATGGGCGCTCCCCCCAAGCCCAGCGACATCCCCGTCCTCGAGGACCCCTCCACCCTCGAGGCCTACGACGCCTTCCTCCTCGGCATTCCCACCAGATACGGCACCTTCCCCGCCCAGTGGAAGACCTTCTGGGACAAGACCGGCAAGCAATGGAGCTCCGGTGGCTACTGGGGCAAGCTCGCCGGCCTCTTCATTTCCACCGCCTCCCTCGGCGGCGGCCAGGAGTCCACCGCCATCGCCGCCATGTCTACCCTCGCCCACCACGGCATTATCTACGTTCCCTTCGGCTACGCCAAGGCCTTCCCCCTGATGGCTGACCTCAGCGAGATTCACGGCGGTGGTCCCTGGGGTGCCGGCACCTTCGCCGGCGCCGACGGCTCTCGCCAGCCCTCCGAGAAGGAGCTCGAGATCGCCCGCATCCAGGGCCAGTCCTTCTACGAGACAGTTGCCAAGCACGTGGGTTGACTGCATGGCAGCAAGGACGGTGCCAAGGTGGAGAACGGCACGACCAACGGCACCAACGGAGCGGACATGCCTGCCCCGGTCAAGAAGGACCCGCCCGCGACGGAGAGCCGGGCGCCGAAGGAACTTGACGACAAGGACGTCAAGTCTGGACCGTGTGGACTGCCCAGCAAGTGTGTGGTGCAGTGAGAACATAGCCTCTGCATGTTTAATCCTGTAAAATTATCACAAAAAAAATACATTGTAATGACACACGTTCCACTTTGCACACAAATCATCCCATCGTTACGTGAACGGTTCTGCCACCGTCAAGAAACTCCGCCTACGCCCGTTATGACACTCGGACGCCGTCCGGTCTACGGCTGCGGAGTCAAAACTTGGACGGAGCAGGGTCCAAATAAGCTTTGTCGCCGCGCGCAGACATCGGGGACGGACGCGACCCTCCTCGGACTGGCAGACCGCATTACGGCCAGGGGCAGTCAAGGCAACGATAGGCCAGACTGTTGATCACGGCAAATGAGGCATCGAGCTATCTCAGGGACAAACCAGGAAGGCGGGGGAGAGGGTTGGAGAAGAAGAGGTTTAGCGCACGGGACTGACAAGCTGACATGCAGCGCTTTCGTAGCAGAAAGAAAATCTTCTTTTGTTCGTTTTTGCCGTTTGCCCACGAACGATCCCTGGAATTGGAGTATTTAGACTTCTCGACACCATTTGCAGAATAATGGTTCGAAGATGGATGGTGGCCGAGGTTTGACCGAATGATTGAGTTTTCATCTGCCTTTAGTTCCATCTCAGCTCCGTCTCTTTTGACAAACCCGGGTTATGGGTCGTAATATCGCCGACCACCGCCGACTACAGGCCGCGACGTCTTGGGCTGTGCGGCGGACTATCGTCAAAGTCTGTGACAATCAGTCATAGACGAACGTTGGGAAAATCAAGTCCTTAATTCACACATTGACTGAACTAATAGGGCATCCATGTCCACACATGTTATTTGCCATTCGCATGTACCGACAACGCCCTTAAACAATGCAATATCACCATGCCAAACACCGTACGCTCAGTGGCTTTTACCTGCCGTGGAAAAGGACGTTGTTGCGGTCGTCGACGTTGACCAACGTGTACTCGGCCAGCTGGGGGTATTCGAAACCCAGAGTGACGGCGAGCAGGTTGGGCTCGGTCCAAGTAGGACGCAGGCCACGTGCTTCCATACGCTCCCACCAGTCGAGGTACGTCTTGGAGTTCCTCACTGTGAAGAAGTGGATCTCAACCATGAGCTGGCCAATGGGGAACTCTCCGCTGGCAAAGTCGGCCATGAGACCGTCTATGGCCTCGAACTCGGCCTCCTCAATGTCCATCTTGAGAATGTCACTGTGATGTCGCCATGTCAGTGGTTATGTTCAGCGTGGAGGTCAGGAGTGGGAAGCAATGCGTACATGTACTGATGACCGTTCATTTCCATCAAGTCCCTAATGCTGTAGAAAGGAGGGGTCGCGTTCAGGTCCGTCTTTCCGGCAATACCGACCTGGAGGAACTGGGCACGAGCACGGTTGGAAGCCTCGAGCTGTTCGCCAAAGTCGACAACGGAGAAGTCGTATGCCCAGACGTAGCAAGGCGTGCGGCTCAGCATTTCGTTCTCTGAATGGCGAGTTTTTGTCAGGAAACACCATCGCCAATACTCAGTGCTATGGCGGGCAACTCACCGAAGCTAGACTCGTCACGAACGCCAAACGAGTAAATGACACACTGCTTGTTCTTGGGGAAGTTGACGTAGTGCGACATTCCGCATACCCACTTGCCGCCGTCTCCCATGCGGCCAACACGCTCCATCTCGTGAGGGCAGCTCCATGAAGCTGGAGTAAAGTCCCAGATCGAATACGGGCTCGTCTTGTAAATTTCCGCGTTGATGGCAGGGAACCTGATGGATGTGAAGACATATGGTCAGCCATGGTTTTCCTGAACTATCGACGTGGGATAACAGGGAGGGCATTCATACATGGGCATCTTGGAAGCATCACCGTAATCAGCAGCGATCATCTCGTGACGCTGTCGGACCGTCTTCTTCCATAGAGCCTCGGATCTCTCCATGGCCTCACGCAGGGAGGGACGGCCGGATCTGAGCTGGGTGATGGAGCCAACCTTGTTTGCCGCCCACTCCTTGGCCTGGGGTGCGGAGCCGCCGATGGCAGACAGGAAGGCGAGCACAAAGAGCAATCCGGCAGCCAGCCAGAGCATCTGGACGATGCGGCGATTGTTGGCGGGCAAACTCATGATGGAGTTTGGTTGCTGAATCGAGAGTCAAGATGTGATTATGCTCCGATTGTGGATCCAGGAGAAAGGCGGGCTGCTTTCGTAGAAAGCGGAGGATGAAGAGAAGATGATTGAAGAGCTGGTGGCTCAGGTAAGGTAGATTAAGTAGAATGAGGGAGGGGCGTTGCCAGAATGTACACTGCAGCCCTTGAATGTTTGTAAGCGTGGCTTCCCACCGTGGGTGGATACGGAAGTCTCGATCTAGTACCTGCTCAAAAAGGGAAGTATATTTAATCGCAGGAAAGAAGGGGCGACTTCCATCCTCCTTCCTACACATTCCAAGGGACATGTTGGATTGGAGAAGCTGAAGAGATAGAGGCTTCTCGGCGGGAGGCGGAGGCCAGGGATGATGAGACCCGGCATGCTCAAGCCAACACAAGGGTGCACCAGGGTCTGTCCTCACTTCAAACATTTGCCTGTTGATTCAAGGGGGATTCAACGCGTGCCATGCATTCCTGCACATCTCCAAAACCTCACGAGCTTCTTTGCTTGACTGCCAGTGCAAACGCCACCTCCCTAGGCTAAACTATCCCCGACGCCATGCTTTGTTGTACTCACTCAGCTGAAGACGAAGCCCCCGCACACCAGTCAATCGCTGGCGATAGCAGCCACCACATGCCTAATGGTCTTCTCGCGCTGGCTGAGCGCCACTGTGGGTGGTGCAATTATAAATGATATTTTAGCATTGCTGGCTTTAACTCGAAAGGTACATTAAACGATGCAGGCCAGTATCATGACAGACAAGGGAGAGAACAACCGGACTCCTATCCCATCCCACCCGCTACTCCTCGTCGTATTCCTTCCAACAAAGTATATTTATCGCGCTCCAATCTCCTTCTTGACCAACACGCACATCGCCTCCATACAGTCGATGCTCGCAATCTCATGCGAGAAGGGGTATTTGGTGGCACCGACCGGTTCAACATGAGCCTCGTACGCCGGCAGGCTCATCATATCGTCCAAGATCTCGTACAGGAAACGCATGAAGGTGCGCTTCGTGGCGTCGGTCCTGGATGGGTCGCCCTGCCACGAGGTCAAGTAGCTGGTGTGCAGGTCCTCGATGATGTAGATACCGCCGGGGCGGACGTACTGCCACAGCTCGTGGAGACTGACTTCCTGCTGCCGCATGCTGTGGCCGCCGTCGTCGATGAGGATGTCTAGGAGACCATCGGCCGTGGCAGCGGCACCCGCTGCGTGGAGGAAAGACGGATTGGCCTGGTCGCCGAAGTGGACCGCCGCCTGAGGATGCTCGGCAGCCCATGCCTTGCCACAAGCCTGGTTGTACTCAATGATGTTGATCTCCAGTTGGGGGAAGTACTGGATCCAAGTCGAGAACGAGGCGCCGGGACCGTACGACTACGATGGTGTAAGCTTGCGGACGGGGAGGAGATGTAGGAGCCCAGACTTACCATGCCGCAGCCGAGACCGATCTCGAGCATCTTGACGTGGCTGTCGCGGAAGGCCGGAAGGTACTTGTCATACAGGACGGCGTAGTTGTGGTCCGTCACCTTGTCCGTGCCGGAGTCCTTGGCCAGGTCGGCGAATGTCGGCCGCTTGTCGTGCTTGCCGTCGTAGGTAGACACATGTCCTGGCCTGTAAGTGTGGCCATTGCTGCCGGCACTGCGATTGAAATGTCAGCATCATAGGCCGTCCAGTTGCATATGATGAGAGGCTTTGGGGCAAGAGGACGCACTTATTCCATCCTGTCGTTTGCTTGATAGACTCCGGCACACCCTCACGCGATACGTGAACCGTGGCAAGCAGGAGGAGGAGGGTGGCACCAGAGAAGAAGATCGACAGGTACCTCCTGTTGGCGGACACGTTGGAAATCGGAGTCTGCATCGTGATGGTGATGTTAAAGCCGATGCTCTCTGCTGGACTATCGAATTGTGTGAAGAATAAAGGCTTGAATAGTGGAGAGAGAAGATGGGCAACGAACGGCGAGCGTCCTGCTCGTTTAATACTTCACGTACAACTACTGATCATTCTGTCCTGATCGTCAGTTTTCCATCCGCTCATGTTTCCAGTCTCGTCTGCGCTCGGCATCCGTTCCAAAATACCTGGAGCAAAGCTGGCTTCGTCCTACCCAACTGTAACTGGCGGCAACTAAACGACCCCATCTTGGGTCACTAATGAGATTGGTCGGTACTATCGATTGTCCGAAAACGGCGTTCAACGATGTCGCGGGGCTCTGCTTGGTTGTATGGACGGTGATGTAAAGGCTTGGAGGCATCCCGCTTATTCGCTTGTGAGACCAAGTGCTTAACGTTTTCGGCCTCTTCTACATGTGGAGCCCTCTCGAGATTCCCTCGTTACTTTGCTCAGAGGTAGCGCAATACTGTAGGCACTGGGGGCATCTCCCTACTGGCTGCCCCGCGCTGACGGTTTGGGGGAAAAGCCCATGTCTCGGGGAATATGTAGATATGACCATCCGCAATAACTCTCTTTCCACGGCAACGTTCATCCCCGACGTGTTCGCGATCCAGAGCATTTCGTGAAACAGTGTTTCGATCCCATCCGCGATGGCATTGGCACCAGGAATGTGTACATCAGCGCCGCTTTCCACGCCCAGTGACGTTGTCTAGAAAAAGAGGCAAATCTTACCTTCGTTATCTTCTGAGAACAGCGCCAAGTGTACTCTTGGGGTCAGAGGAAGGATAAGGTATCCAGTAGAGGGATGTCTTGACCTCTACCTGTATCCCCATCGTCTTCTCTGGTGAAAACAAAAAGCGAGAGATTGTGTAATGACTCAACCTTTTATCGTTGCTTTTTCTCCGTGAAATCCCTCTTCCTTTGAGTCTTATTCCGACCACGTTTTGACCGCATAGGACGTAGGAGCGTAGGGAAAATCACTTCTGTGTATTGCTCGTTTGTTCCACTTACTTGACTTGAAGTGGATGCGTACCTGTTCATCTTCCGGGACGATGGCAGATCTGGACTTTTTGAAAGAGAGTTAGCCTGTCTCGCGACATCGATGCGCCATCATATGCGGCGGGCCGAAAAGGTCGCTAGTCTCGGGACTCGATGGGGAGAAAGCTCGGATGCCGCTTCAGATTTCCTGCATCTTCGAATCGGGTGCCGGTTCCGTTTCAAACAAAACGCAGCGACGGGCCGTCCTGTGAATCCTGTATCTGAGTCCGAGCGAGATGGCCGGTTTCCCGCTAAGCCTGTGGAAGCAAAGAATGTTTCTGACGGGGGCTTGACGTCAGAAGAGGTTGCCAGGCCGCATCCGTGAGAACCAGCACCAGCAAGCGAACTTAGCCGCCCGCGGATGTGTCTGGTTGTTTTCGGCAGCGCTCATGTTTGGCAGCAACGGTTGGTCTTGGGTTGATGAGTCACTGTTCTTCATCGCAAGAAATAAAAACTATGATACCGGTAACTGTCCCGAGAAAAACAACGTGGTTTCATTATAAAACTGTGGATGCCCTTCCAAGGCTTCAATGCGGTCTGCGCTTCGGTACGCGAATGACGCGAATTGGAGAGTTAGTAAAGCTTGTGGTGGGAAAAGCTCGCAGAGATGGAGTTCTTGAAGCCTTCCCGGTAGGGCTGTTCTTGAGAGAGGTCTTTCTCTGGGATCATCCATGATAGGATTCGCAGGATGCAAGCCAAGCCAGGGGAATTAGCCACGCCAGGAAAAGAAGCTCTGTCACTGCCACGCGACCAGTGAGAATCCTTCGACGCCTCGTCTGCGAATTGACCACCGCCCACTTTTCAGACTCTCCTCGCGGCGCGCATCTTCCATGCCATAGCTTCTTCCCGGACCTGAGACGTTTCTTCGCGGCCTTTGCTTCGACATTCTGACTTCTTGGGAAAGTTGCCGGCACTGATACTTTGCTCACGGACGGGAGAAGACCGGTAGGATTCCATCGACGGTCGTTGTCCGCGCCCAGGACAGGGTGAGCCACAAGCCTTTTCGGCACAGTCTGCCGTGGCCCGTCCGTGTACATGGTTCGCATGTCGAAGATCTCAAACCTCGCCCTTCTGAGTGGGAAACGTCCAAACTCTCCGTCGCCTTCGCGCCTTTAGGAAGGGTTCCGGGTGTCATGGCAAGCTCCTTGCAGCAACCTTGGCTTTCTGCCCACCGGCCGGTTTAGCCCTTTTCGCTGCACGAGACCGCGTCCCCTTCCGTCCGGTTTCTGGAAAAATCACAGGCTTCCCAGGTCGGGCAATTCTTGGTCATCTTCTTACTGGCATTCCATGTCCGAACATCGAACGCTGCGATGCGTCGAAGGCCCAGTCTCGCCTGGACCCGTGCTACGGAATCCCAGGTCAGACGGAGCTTGCGCCCCTCGGCCGAGTAATCATCAAGCCAAAGGCACATGCCAAGTGGGCTGTTTCCATGCAGCATGGAGTTATCTGCACCTATCAACTTCCTTGCTTCGGCGTTGCGCTCCTCAATGCAACGGCGCGTTGCTCCAAGAGTCGCAGGTATACTCTCGCCTTGTGAACTTTGCTCAAGGCGCAGTTGTCGGAGGAATATACAATCCATGGAAGTCCCTGCCGCATCGCCACCAATAGTTGCGACGACCAAAGGCTTCCATCATTCATACGGGTATTCTCTTTCTATATAAATCACTATTCACCATGGCATTTTAACTAGTCACCGCTAATATCAAAGGTCCTCGTGTTTTCATCAACAAACCCATTGAATCCAGTATTCACGCCGACTCAATTAGTGTCCACCAGTCGATCTGGCACATTGCTCTAAGTTTCACAAGGTGAGTACTCCTGGCGACCGATTGTGAGAAGACCTTGCTCAAACCTGTTTCCAGTCACCCGCATCGTTACCAGCCAGCCATGGACTACCAGAGTTCCCGCAGCTCAAGTCGCCAGACTTCAAGGTCAAGCCCTAGGCAAAGAGACGCCAGCGGAAGAACCCGCGAAGGCTCTCAGTACGTCAAGATGGCAGAAAGCGAACGCCGACGAGAGGTCCCTCAAGGTCGCAGCGGTTACAACCGCAC